AAAAAATGCGAGACAAACCATGCGTAAAGATATGCATCCTAATTAAATTATTAAACTAAAGCCACACGTGCTGTTTATTGCACAGCTCTTAGACAGGAAAACATGGAATTTTGAGGAAATAAATTCGGCCATAAAAGAAAAGAATTTGCTAATGGCAGATGCTGAGACGCTATCTTTGTTCAGTGAAAAAGCTGAGTTTGACAGAGTGAGTTAATGCTGCTGAGGAAGATGCCAAGACTTGATGGTTTAGACTCACATGCCAAACTATTATTATAACTCACCCCTGCACCTCGGTTTAATGGAACTGGTGAAACGTCTTGATCTCACCAAGACCCCTGGAAATCAAAACCTTGTAAAATAGTTTAAGGCTAAAATTAAAACCTTTTTGTGACAGAAAACCCACTAATGCAGACTTCCATTCGCCTGTGATTGTTTATTTTATACGCTGGCTGAACAGTGTTCTTAAAGCACCACAGTTTAATTCGGCAATCTGGAAGCTTGCGATACGCGCTCCTGTTTTCTACATATTTCCTCAAACTCTACAAGGGTCTCACGTTGATTTATTGGAGTGTGAATGTTTATGCCTTGTTCCCTGGATGACACCATCTGCTCCTAATCTGTATTTCCATCATCGTCTGTACCGCGACTGCTCTGGATGGAGTCGAAAACGAAGACGGTGATTTCTCAGTCGGGACTATCTGTGAGGTTCCAGCCAGAGTTCACACCAGTAGYACCTTGTCAGTCACAGGCTTCACGGTTACATCAGAAACTCTCTGTGATAGCAGAAAGGATGTAGGATCACAAAACAATATACACGTGGACTTGGCAGTACTTAAAAATGTTTTATACATGTATGGAAGGCATCAGACCATGTTTATGTTTTAATTTCCTTATTTCATTATCCATTTTTCCAATATCCATACATTCTATAACGTCTAAATCATTTTCTGAACTATTACGTATTTGCGATGGAACTTCTAAATAAGGAGGTCTGGACTTACCAAATACAAGTTGGTGGTCTTCCTTCTCTGGTTCTGGGTCAGACTCTGGCTCCAACTGTAAGACTGGATGGACAAGTCTTCCCTCGTTGACATCTTTTAAAGTAATTTGGGGAAAAAAAAGTTGCATGCCCCTCTATCAAACTAGATTGGACCAGTCTGAAAGCTGGAGGGGGCAGGATGTGAAGCGTGTCATTTGGATTTAAAGAGACAGCCTCAAAATGAGTTGATCTGAGACAAACATCAGGAAAGGGGTGAAAGAGGGGCTTGTGGAGTTACAATAAGGAGGATTTCAGACCAAAGCATCACAGTTACACTTCATATAGACCCCAACTGAAGGATTCAAATGTGAAAAAAAGGATTTAAAAGCATTAGCTGTCTAGGCTTAAGACATGCCTTTTTGAAACATCCTACAGTTTGTTACTTGATGTCCTTCTCCAACACACCTGATTCAGTAYCTGAACTTCCTCTTCAAGTTCTGCAGAAGCCCGTTAATCTTTCATTCATTCAAATCAGGTGTGCTGGAGCAGAGAAGCCTCTAAAACACAAGTGTACTAGCAATGTACTTATTACTTTACAGTCTTTTGCTCAGTTTTCCAAGAATCTCACTTTGGCTCCGGGTAAGWTCTGCAGCAGAACTGACCTTTAAATGTGGAACAGGAATATGGACTGGTTTTAGCAGTGCGCTGTGACGCAATAGTTTGAGGAATGATCGCGTAAATAAGTCTGTACCGATCAAATCAGATTCTGAGAAAAAGAAAACGTGTCCTCTGGGCAGCTGTCAGCAGGAAAAGTGACTTCAAGGCAAAAGAAAAATCCTATTTGTAGCAAGTTTTGCTTTTCAAAATAAAGCGTTGGCATTGTAGTGTGTTAATGCATGACAATCGATTTGCTTTTGGATGAAGTAAAAAGTTGCCGTGGATGGTTTTTATTTTTCTGGGGTCACTTTACAGCTTTAGAGGCTTAAATAAAAGTAAGAAATACCAAAGCAATGGATCATTTTTTATTTCAAAGTATTGTGTTCTTCAGGATTACGTTATAAGAATCAGGCCTTGAAAGGGGTGCATCTGAAAGCTCTTGACAAATACGTCAAAGATTCTCTTTACTTTTCGTCATTTTAGCAATTTATTGCTTTTAAATTAGATATTCCCCTCCTGTGACATGGAGTTCATGAACAGGGAGTAGGGCAGAGGTCTCGGAAAGGTCTTTGGGGGATCATTAAACTACACGTGCCTCATGATGTATGTCTTCTATTACAAAACAATTTTAAGGCCAAGGCAGAGTCTAAACAGTCAGAGGACTATTTCGTGAGAAGGGATGTACAACTCTTTGCGTATTTTGAGTTGAGAATGAATCTGAGACGCAAAGCAAATGTTTTGATTGAGTGTTGTGAAATGTGTCTACCATCAAACTGCTCAGTGAAGGCATAAATCTAATGTTCTTGTTCTTTTGGATCTCTGGAAACAGACTAAGTTCTTATGTCAAACCGAATGATGTTTTAAAAAAGTATTGAGAGAGATCAAACTTTGGACCAGAGTGTAGATAGATGCACGGGTGTGGCTAATTTCAAATATAAGCTCATTCTATACTGGTGAGATCAATGTAGGGTGTGCTCAAAAAAAATGACCTCACACTAACAAGGAATGTCTTTAACTGAAAAGAAGCAATTGTGTTCTGATGTAGCAGGTAGTTCATTTAAGGGAAGATACGGACTCCCATTCCAGCACACGTGGAGAAAAAGCACAGCATCATAAATTTATTACAAAGGCCATTTATAATGTTTTGTTTCAGATAGGAACACTAAAGCTCACCCTGACAGAGTAAACTCGGCCTTGCCAAAAAGTAAAACAAAACTGTGTCTGTGTGGCAGAAAAAGACACACAAACACCAAATCACATACAACAATCCCTTCAGAAACCATATTCAATTTCAGTTTGCCTAATCACCTCAGTTTTTGTGATAAGGAATCTGGAGCGATTTGTGACATTTGCAGGCCGTCTATTTTTGTTTCAATTAAAACTTGCAGTCTGGAGAGACGGAATAAATCAAATGCAGAAAATGCGACATCAGGAAGAGTTGAGACGTCTTCTGAAAAWTTCACCTCAGTCTGAGCGAGTTAAAGAGCAGACAGTGAATCAGAGGATTTATCATTCCATCGTAAGCATCAGAGCCACTTCATATGTCAAACACATTATCTTTCCTAATGGACGAGAGATGAGTGAAGCCTGAAATTTCATTCCCTTCCAGAAAGGTAGATTTTTCCTTAAAGGGGACATATGCAAAATCCACTATTTTAGCCATTAAATGCTTTTTGTTGTGTACTTAATCTCTAGGAGTGCAGAAAATTTGAATTTAGTTTCTCCCGGTGCTGCATGGAGATCTTTATATTCTGTTTCAGTCATATTTTTCAACCCATTCAGTTTTTCTACTCTATTGGTTTCTGAGCTATTACATCACAARATTTACAAAGGAACTGCCAAATAAGGTTTGGACTTACCAAATACAATTTGGTGGTCTTCATTCTCCTCTGGCTCTGGGTCAGATTCTGGCTCCAACACGTAAGGGTAGATGGACAAGTCTGCCCTTGTTGGCATCTTTTAATAAAATTGTAAATAAAAAGTTTCTGCGCCGCTATATAGTCGTAAACCCCTCGATCAAACTGGAATGGAAAGCTCTAAAAGCTAGAGGGGAGTTAGCCTGGTAAAAACCAGACCCTTGTCCTTAACTTTGCTTCGTACAGAGGTTCTGGACTCACTGCTATAGAGAAGCGATTCTAGCTGGAGGCATGGCCTCTGCTAAAGTGTGTGTGTGTGTCGCTGTGAAGGAGGCTAAGCTAAGAAGCTAACTGGAAATCGCATGTGCTGTAAACAACCCTACAGAGAGGAGAGAAGTACCGAGCCGAACAAGACGGCTGTAAATGAAAGCTGCTGCTTTGTCAGACAAATTTAATTTGAATGTCTTATCAACACGGACTGGCTTCATTCACTTCCTCCACTGCCATTGCTAACTAACTAGCAGACACTGCGCAGAAAATCGACGTCATTCAAAACCCCGCCTTCTGTTTGCCGTTTGGCCCAGGTAAAATAAACTACAAGCAGACACTGCACAGAAAATTGACGTWKTGTTCTCTGATTGGTTCGGCTGAAAATCTGCCAGCAAAATCCTTGTCTATGGGAGAAATGCCAGACGGAGCAGAGAAGCAAAACTAGAATTGAGCGGAGCTGTGTAGGATGGTAAGGACCAGGCTAGAGGGGGGTGGGCTATGAACCTTGTTTGGATTTAAAGAGACAGCCTCAAAACGAGTTGATCTGAGATACACCTCAGAAAAGGGGTGAAAGAGGGGCTTGTGGAGTTACAACAAGGAGGAATTTAGACCAAAGCAATGCAGTTCCATATTAAATAGACCCCAATTGAATTATTTAAATGTGAAAAGGGATAAAATTTTGTCTCCTTTAAGTTTCAGTTAAACTTAGTTAAAGGTTATAAAAAATCTGTAAAAGTTTTTGAATGAATTGAGTTTTAAATTAACATTGACAAAGAAAATCATTTCACTACTAACTTTTGTTTCACCTGCCTTGTTAATGTCAGGACAAGCGCTCCTTATGGAGCCCCAAAGCCAGTTCTAATATGGTGGATTTGTCTTTAAAAACAGTAGGAGCATATGTTTTTCTGGCAGCCACAAAGGTTGCACCCAAGTGATGTCATGACTCTCTGTGATGATTTGCTAAACACTGGTCACAACCAGATATATAGAATACATCTGTTTCACATGCTGAACTATAATTTATGTGATGCTTGAGCATGCAAAGTGCTCAAGATGTTGGAAGGACTCTTAATGCAAGTGTTTTTGGCAACTTTACCTACAGCTGAATGAGCATTGCATCATGTTATTGTGGTTAAATGGATCAAAGACAACGAAGCTAAACACTGACATTCCTTCGAATCTTGGTCAGAGAGAAAAAAAAGTATAAACAAAGAGACTAATATGAAAAAGCCGCAGTGTGTTGCATCTTTTGAAAGTTTAAAGTAAGCTCTTACGTTCAACTAAAATTTGAGAACACGAAAGCAGACGTAAAGTTGAACCTGTTTTTATTCTTCTGTAAAACAAACAATTTTTTTACATTTRATTTTGTCTTTTCAAACAAAACAGCTGCCAGTGTATTCCAGCTGCTGCAGTGCAAGCTCCCTGGTCTTCACAGCAGCCTGCTTTGTTGTAATTATGCAGTCAAGTTGGGGAAGCAATGCAAAGCYGCGGTGGTGTCATGAGACAAATGGGACCCTGTGCTAGATCGAAACAGCCTTAGCTTTCCATCCAGGGTCCCAGTTAACAGCTAGGAAGGAGAGAGAGGGAGAGAGAAGAAAAAAAAACACAAAGAATGACATCATGTTCAGCCTTTACTCTTTTGGATGAACTTTCTAAACGCCCTCATTTCACAGCCCGGTATTTAAAGGAACAAGCTGCATTCTAACTGCTGACAGATAACTAGAACTATCCTGTGAAACTTTTTACTTTTCGTAGTTGATATTTGCCAAAGTTTGTTTAATATCGTCCATTAACTTCCACTTGTTCTGAAGGTGGGTTACAGAGGCAGCAGTTTTAGCAGGGAAGTCCAGACATCGCTTTCCTTAGCCACCTCTTTGAGCTCTTCTAGGAGGATTCCATGACATTCCTAGGGTAGAGAACTGGGTTCACGTACCAGTTGGTTATACCCAGAAAACTTCCCTGGGGAGGCAACCAGAAGGCATCCTTACCAGATGCTCAAACCACCTCGAATGGTTTCTTTTGATGTGGAGGAGAACTACAGGAGTTAGACAATGAAACTGAAACACCTATCATTTTAGTGTGGGAGGTTTCGTGGCCAATTTGATCCAGCCTGGTGGCCAATCTTCATTAATTGCACAATGCACCAGTAAGAGCAGAGTCTGAAGGTTCAATTAGCAGGAAAAGAGCACAGTCTTGCTCAAAATATTGCAATGCACACAACATTATGGGTGACATACCAGAGTTCAAAAGAGGACAACTTGTTGGTGCGCATCTGTGACCAAGACAGCAAGTCTTTGTGATGTATCAAGAGCCADGGTATCCAGGGTAATGTCAGCATACCACCAAGAAGGACCAACCACATTRAACAGYATTAAKTGTGGATGCAAGAGGAAGCTGTCTGAAAGGGATGTTATGGTCTAAAACTAGGTGTTTCACTTTCATTGTCTAACCCCTGTAGCTCTACTCAGAGTTCAGAGTCTCTACTGGATAGCTGAACATCTCACCCAATCTACATGGGAGAGCCCAGCTACCCATGAGGAAACTAATTTCAAGAGCTTGTATATGTGATCATGTTGTTTGGTCATTACCAGGACCTTAGGTGAGGGTAGGAATGTCGATCAATCAGTAATTATCAACCTTTATTTAACCAGTCAAATCCCATTGAGATCTCTTTTGCAAGGGAGGTCTGGACCTGCAACTAATTGTATCGGTCTGGTTTAGGAAACCAAAGTACCCAAGGAAAAACCCATGCAAGCATGAGAAGAACATGCAAACGCCACACAGAAAGACCCTAGATCCAAACTGGGGACCTTCTTGTAGTGAGGCATCATGCTTGCAGAGAGCATTGCCTTGCAACCCAGCTCCCTCTTCACCAATGGACCGGCAAAGAGTTTGCAACACTGTGGAAACTGCATTGATCCATCTGTTGGTCTCCCATCTTTCTTCCCTCACTTGTAAACAAAACCCCAAGATGCTTGAACTCCTCCACTTCAGGCAGCACCTCACTCACAAACAGTTTTGATTTTAGAGGTGCCAATCATAAAAAAACAACACGTTAGTCCACATCCTGCTCACCACTCAGCATTGATAAACACAAAAGGAAATCATTTGTTGACTGCATGTGAAGTGCACTTCATTTCATAACTTTCCATTTGGCAAAAAAGCAAATGACAGTGAGGAAGGATTGCCTCAGCTCTTCCACATCCAATAGAAAACCTGCCAATTTGGGTTCGAAATGAGAATAATGTACATATTTCAATCAGCGATAGCTCACCAGAGAGTTAGGAAATGGCCACAATGTTTACAAGAAACATCAAAGGTTTTACCCAGTTTTATCCCGTTTAATTCCAAGTGTTAATGTAAAACATTTGATTGCACTTCATGGTTTTGAATGGCTACACAAATCTTTAAAGCTGAAAACCATTTCTTCGACAAACTACAARTTCCAGCCATCAGCTCGGATCAATATTCTTTATGGTGATTTCAGAGATGGTGATTGGTGGTTTCAAAGACACTATCCTCGTGAAGTGAACTCAAACAACAGGATTCCTTGGACTTGCGGAGCAGTGATAAAAACCACACTTGGCCCAACAATGGTTTAAGTTTTATTTTTTCCATTTACTAAAGCAGTTTTATGCAGGAGAAATATTTTACCAGCAAACAGATGCCTGTGCTGGGAAAGGGAGTCACACTAGTTGAGGTCTGAGCATGACTCAAGCATCATAAACTGGAGTGGATTAAATCTGCCTTTGATGGGCGAAGGTTGCAGCCCATTTTTTGTGTACACAAAGGATTGCACACAAAGGCCAAACACAAGTGGACCTAAAAAAATAGCTAGTAAGCAAAAGTACATGATGTAGGCCTGGGTTAAATAATCTAAAACACCATTTTATTGTTTTGTTTTTCCCTAAGCCTGCGCAAGAAGCTACTATGAAAACTTAAGAAGGTCAGAGGTCAGTTTCACTGGAAACTACAGTGTTGCTTATCAAGTGAAAGCATAAAAACAAATTGGCCAGTTTGTGGAACTGATTTATGAAAGAGCCTAAGAATGACTGGGTATTTCACCCATGTAAAGCTGAAATTAAATACCATTCTTTCCAAATAACTTTTTAAATGCACTAGCTGAAAATCTCTGTATTCCAAATATAAAACATTTGCCACCTTCCCTTGCTGTGAAACGGAAACAAAGAAACTGATGCGAACTGAGGTTTCCATGTGTGAGAAGTCAGAGCTTTTTGAAAACTGATTTACTGCAGACATAAAGAGAGGGGTCACAAAGAGCCACCACAAATGGCTCAATTCTAAGAAACATTTCACTTATACTGAGTCTCATTTTATAGACTTAATGTCTGATGTCCTTATACAAGTTGGTTCAGGTCTTATATAAGCACATGTCAAACTCGTTCAAAACATTTTCAGTTTGTTAATTTTAAGTGCTGATGGACACACACACACACACACACACACACACAAAAAGATCCTTGGCTCCCTATGCTTTATGATTTTTTCAGATTTATTGCATTTTCCTATATCAAAGTCTAATTCAAAACTTTTCAGGAATTCTAAGTGAAATCAGACTGGGAATTTGCAGGGAACACTTGTTACATAATCTGAATTATTGACGGCCGTGACGGCTTCATACCCCCGAGAGCAAACCGTAAATCAGCAGTTCAAAGCAGGAATATAGAAGACATTTAAAAGTTCAATGTGGATTTGATTTTCAGGACGCACTGTTCTCAAACATGGACATGCTGTAAGTGTACCTTTGTTGTCTTAATGCAGGAGATCATGCATTTTAAAAAACTAACTAAATCACAATTTTATTGTATTTGCTCTTGCGAACAATTTTTTAAAGCAAAATGAGAGAAACCTCTAATAAAGTAGGTTACGCAATGAAGGAACAAATAAAAAGCCTAAACAATAAGTAAATTTGGTTTTCAGTTGACATAAAAGTTCAATAAATCATGTAGTTTGCCCTTCACTGTAAAGGAGTCTTGTTTTGTAACTAATGCCCTGTGCGAAAGAACAAGATCGCAGATACAAGTGCCCGAAATGAGTTTCCACCGCAGGGTGTCTGGGTTCTCCCTTGGAGATAGGGTGAGAAGCTCAGTCATCCGGGAGGGACGCAGTGTAGAGCCGCTGCTCCTCCACGTCGAGAGGAGCCAGTTGAGGTGGTTCATCTGGTTAGGATGCCTCCTGGACACCTCCCTGGTGAGGTGTTCCAGGCACATCCCACTAGGAGGAGGCCCAGAGGAACACCCAGGACACGCCGGAGGGACTATGTTTCTCGGCTGGCCTGGGAACACCTTGGGATTCCCCRYGATGAGCTGGCCCAAGTGGCTGGGGAGAGGGAAGTCTGGGTCTCTGTGCTTAGGCTGCTGCCTCCGTGACCCGACCCCGGATAAGCGGAAGAAAACAGATGGAAACTGACCCTATGCAGTATTGAACTTAAAGCACTGTGTTTTGCTTTTACTTCCACTTAAAAACCACACAACGTCATAACGTGACAACTGAATTAAACATGTGTTTACTTAATGTGACAGTATTACACAGAATAAATGGTAAATGGTAAATGGTACTGAAC